ACAGTATGGGGGCGTGCACGTGTACTCAATGTGCACAGACAGAGAACAGTATGGGGGCGTGCACGTGTACTCAATGTGCACAGACAGAGAGCAGTGTGGGGGAGTGCACGTGAAGTCAATGTGCACAGGCGGAGAGCAGTGTGGGAGAGTGCACGTGAAGTCAATGTGCACAGGCAGACAACAGAATGTGGGGGTGTTGCACGTGGTCTCAGTGTGCACAGGCAGAGAGCCATGTGGGGATCTGCAGGTAAACTCAATGTACACAGACAGAGGGCAGTGTGGGGCTGTGCATGTGGAATCATTTTGCACAGACAGATAGCAGTGTACATGTGTGCATATGGACTCATTGTGAGTGACAAACAGCTGTGTGCAGGAATGCACATGGACTCATTGTGCACAGACAGAGCAGAGTGTGGGTGTGCACAGACAGGGAGCAGTGTGCAGGCATGCACGTGGACTTACTGTGCACAGACAGAGAGAGGTGCGGGCGTGTGTGTGGATTCATTGCCTACTCACTGAAAGCTGTCCAGGCAGCAGCTGAGGAATGTCTCGCAATGTCCCAGGACTTGTGGGAGATATGATGGATATGAAGGGCCGGTCCATTTTCTGGGACTCGAAGGAACTTGAACCTGCTCAAAATGGAAAGAACAGGAATGCTTTCGTCAAAGCGCCAACATGAGCCATCATATGCATAACCCTGCGTGCAGGGCATCCCCCATGTATACGTGGAAGGGAGCTTCCTATCTCATGCATAAGACAGAATTATGGTGTATAAATGCATTAAACCAATTGCATTTAATGTCATGTGCCTGAATGCACTTCGCATTCTCAGCTCGCAAAAGGCCAGAATTGAGCAGCCAGATGAGATCAGGCCGGTGTAAACCCGGCACGGGGGGGGGGACTCCGGCACGGGGGGGGACTCCGGCAAGTCCTACAGGAACACCAGGCCTAGTCGCTATGAGCAATAATAGGTTGTTATCCGCTACCATGAGACAACAATGTCAGAGAAACAAGTCTTCCTACAGACCTCTCAACATCCCTGTCAACGCCAACAGTGCAGTACCCAGTGGAACCACCCCGCTCTTTCGAAAAGGCTCCCCCTCGTATCAGAATATAATAATCAAAATTTGGAGGAATATGTCAATTTTGTGCATTTTTCATAGGTGCATATTTTACAAACAAATGGAGGCAAAAATTCATGCTATGCTGCTACACGTAAAAAAAAACTTATAATTAAAACTTACTAGATTCTAAGGGAGGATGTGATGTTTCTGGAATCCTTGGTATATCTCTAAACGATAAAAAAAGCAATATTTACCACATAAACAGACACTGGAAACGCACGTACACCAGGAGGAAGAGGGGGATGTTCTAGAACATTCCGTATTAAATGGCTTCAGTCACCCTCTTTCACTTTTCTCGTCACACACTAGTCTCAGATAAACTCTTTCTCCTGTCGAATTTGAAAGAGAGACGACAAACGGGAGCAGCGGACACCAGCCAGCCCATAGCATATCGCCAAGGCAACACAGGGCTTCCGGTGCAGCCCAAGCCCAAGGAGAAACACCAGGGAAGGTTCCGAGGGGGAAGTGGGAACGCTAATCCCCTCCCCCCCACCACCACCAAACCCGCCCACTGCCATGCTGTCGTCAGCTCGGAGACTGGAGCACAGGTTGAGGAGAGATGGAGGGGGCAGGGGGGGGGAATCCACAGCTTCTGAGGGCTCTCTACTTACTGGCATGCCTTATAGATCTTTCTCAAGAAGTTTTTGGAAAGAAAGAGATGGACACCTCTTTTAAGCAAATGGGGAAGACAAATCAGAGACCGGAGAGGCACAGGAATAGAAGATTCGAGATAAATATCCAGAAAGTGAAGTTAAAGGTGTTTAGATTCATTGGGCTGTGCCTTCAGGAAAGCAGAATCATTAATCACTTGGGTGTTTTTTTAGAGGAGGACACCTCACATTTTTAAGCAATTCTTTTAAAGTAATTTTTAAATCTCCCCCTGTTTGCATGAGTAACACTACCAGGGTACATCCCTGAACTTCAGCTCAGTTCAGCGACTTGGCTTACCTAATTGGCCTTGAAACCACTATTTCTACTTGAGGTTCTGATTTAGAATCCAAAATGATATTGTAAACTTCCTTTTTCGTTGCTCCGGGCAACGGCTTCCCATTCCATTGCAGGACCTCGTCACCTAGGAACACAGGTGGGCGGTAAATTGCACGGATATACGGATGACACTTCCGCTTCCTTTTTAAAAGCCCCGGGAACACGGGGCAAGAAAGAACACAGCACCCATAAAGCATTTTCCTGGAATTTTTCTTCCAAATCCAGGCAACAGCAGCTGAAGCCAGTGTGATAGGTGGGGCCGCCATTTTCCAGGATTCCCGCTCACCTGCCCGTAAATGACCTACAACATCGGCAAGGCTGCCCTTCTTGACTTTGGTGATGAAAGCCCCAAGTCTCCCAGTCTCCGTCATCTTCCCTCCGACGACCTGAGAATCCAAAGAAGCAGGACCGGTGATCAGCTGACCTGTCACACCGTCATCTCACCAAGTGCGGCATGAACGGGAAACCTTGCGTATGCTCTAGCTACAGTTATACTGGAAGAAGGACCCTCTATACTCAATCACAAAATGACGGAAAATTCAATAGCTCAACAGGCTATTAGTGGCACAAATTATTAGCTAATATTACTTTAGCCAGTCAGTCGTGAAGAAATGTAAACACATTTTTAACACAGGGGCAGCTCTGACACACTGCGGGTCAGTCACAGGTGGGCGTTTCACATGCAAGCATCTATGATTCATTTCATTTAGCCTCTTATCTTAAGCAATCCCCGGGGCCAGCGTGGCAAAAATGCAAAGCGACGTCATTCAAGACAAGTAGTTAAACAGGCAATTAGCGACATACGTTATTAGCAGATATTGGTTATTCTATCCAGTATATTTAACACACAGACAGAGCGATATGTCAATAAGATCCTACTTGGGTAAATAACTTGCACTAATAGCAGACGCTGAATGAACTGCACGGTATCACTTTGCTTTACTGCCATAATTGTTTCTCGTCACGACAGCTCTGTAAATCGTGTCGGATGAGAGTCAGCTCACTCGATAAATTCGGAAACATTTTCTCACACCAACGTCAAAGTATATTTGGAATGCAGCAGCGTGTGGTTCTGCGTAGGAGAGGACTGGCCGGGGTGCTGGCGCGGATGGTAAAATTATCGGATGGCTTGATTGCTGACCTTTAACCCTAGCATGGTGCTGGCCTCTTTCGTCATGGCTATCCTCTTGCTCAGGGTGATCCGTCCAATCAGATGGTCACCCTCTTTGGACGGTTGCCAGGTGACAGGATGCTGGGGAGGGGGTTGGACAGGAATTCAGCCACGTCTACCAGCAGCTACCAACCCGGACACACTCATTCACTCTTGCATGATCGTGTGCACACACACACACACACACACACACACCAACCGCATTTATGTTAGTATATAATTCAAAGCATAATCGTGGTCCTGTTGTTCACTCTGTCATGGTTACTATGACAACGAGGCTGAGGTGCAGAGCCCCACACTGACTCCAGAGGGCGGAAGAGTCACACTAATGCAGGAGGCCTGGCGAGTCTACGGCACCCCTAAAGGGAAGGAGAGGGGTCCAAACCCACCTACCTCATGCTTATTGAAACATCAGCCATTTACTTCTGTGACACCATTTTGAATCTAAACAGTATAAAAATGTGACAGAAGAAGCCCACACATTTCACACTTTTATTTAAACACTGCTGGGTGTAGTTTCACATGCTATTACACAGTGGCTTAGCAGGAGTCCAGCCATAAATCTACACGCATACCTTAGAGCTTTGCACAATTACACATGTAAATATTTACCGGAGCGGCCCATGTCACATGACATGCTGCAGGCTAAAAAGGCTGGGGCCTCTGCCTGCTTTTACCATATTTACTGATATATACCGGCCACTGGCCATGTGAAAAGTGAAAGTGCGTTTAAAGTAAACACTGTCATCCCGATGAGTACACTTCCATTCCCAGACGGGTGTTTAAAAAGGCCCAGCATCTCCTTGCCATGTGATGGGGG